TCTGTAGGGTGAATTTGTGATTCGTTTTTGCAGTTTATGTAATTTTTCAATATTTGTCGGGTAATCATTTCCCCATATAATATTGCAGTATTGAAGGTGCGGTAGACTAAATGAGTTGTATAAATTTAGAAGAATACGTTGAGGGAAAATGTGTTCAACTTTGTAGATAATACCAATAAATTTGCGATTTTATAATAATCTATATGGAGCTTCCAACATACTGTTCATTTAATTGTATTCCAGCGATAACTGTGTTTTTTCTCAGTAATGTCAAATTGTTAATTTTTATTTGGGTATCAATAACAGGAATCATTTTTTGGCGTGGTCTAAAAATAATATAATTTGTCTTATCAATATTTAAAATGAGTTTATTGGCCTTAAACTATTAATTGATTTTTGATAATTTAATGTTTAAAGTATTAATAAGGTTTATCACAAAAATCTGGGTCATTTATGGAGTTCATTTCAATTTTCAGATATATTTTTGACTTATGAAAGCACATTGCCGCCGAAAAGTGGGAACCAACACCCTTAAAAAAAAGTCCCGTTTGGGGGCGCTTTTCAAAATGGCCGCCTGTTGATTTGGACGCTTGTATTTCGATAACCACTAGTCAGAGAGACTTGATTTTGGTCTCAAACTGTTCACAATATGCATGTTCATATTTGTTGTAATACAACTTTTTCTCCAAAAATGGCGGGAAATATGATTTTTTAAAGTTTGACATTTGACCTTGTATTGTCATATCTCGATAACTACTGGTCACAGAGACTCACAATAGATTGCAAATTGTTCAGGAGATTACCAATATATGGTAAATTATTTTCTGGAAACTTTCTATTTCTGTTTCATGAATATATTCATGTTCGATTCATGAATAGAGACTTCCTAGAATTCATATTATTTATTTTGGGCCACGCCCCCTTAACTTCAAACTGCCGCTACAGGAAAATGAACGAATTGGCGAGTCCCAAAATTTCCGGTAGAAGTAGTAGTAGTAGTAGTAATGGTAGTGGTAGTGGTATTGGAAGTAGTAATGATAGTGGTAGTGGTAATAGTTAGTAGCAGTAGTAGTAAGCCTGTACAACATAAGGATATATACATAACTTAGCAATAAAAATAATAGTTATAATTAGAATAAATAATAATATATGTAGGTGATCTCAGTGTATCCGAATAAATATTTAGTTGTATTGTGTTAAATTCATTTTATCATTGAGTTTATTCATTAATAAACGGTAATTGTAGCGTCATCGTCGTTTCACGTATAATGTAGGCCTATCCGAAATCATGAACACACACAGAGTACAGTACAAAAGTGATGAAACAGAGTAACATTATAATTAGTTACCGTAACATTGTTTGTACAGTATCTTTTTAAGGTGGGTGATAATAGAAAACAAGTCCCACTGGTTACGAGAAATCAACTATGTTTATTATAGGCCATTTTATATGTAGTCATCATCATCATTAGGCCTATCTTCACCATTATTTAATTATTGTCATCGTTTTTCATGAATTACGTAGGCTTATCTGTACCTATTTATTGTACTTGTGCATTTTAAACGTCAAGTAGACAAACTTCATTTCGTACAACTACCCGTGACTGAGTGAATCTTCAAAAAAAAGAACAACAAAACAAAAAAAAAAAAAAAAAAAAAAAAAAAACCCTGACAGATACCTGAGTTTTTAGTAATCATTATGTAATCATAGCCTAATCCTTATTAGCTTAAACATAGGCATGTGTTATTAGTTCGCCATGCAAACCTTCAAAAAATACTTTAATCTAATCATTATTCATTTCTAATATATATATATATATATATTATACAATTATAATAAAAAGGGGTTCCAAGGCTCGACGCAGGGTTCCCGGAATGCCGCCCTCAGCGGCGTGTGCGAAGCACAACTCAAGAGTCAGAAGTGGAACGTGAATTTCCGATATGGTTTCGTAGTCAGATTTTCGAGAAAAACTTCAGCTACCCGTATTTTTCGACTGAGACGTCAATTGGAGCTGTAATTTGTATGGCAAGGAGATGGTGCTACCCTTAATTCGTATTAAGGGAATTTACGCCCACAAACCTTGTAGTTATTAATATTTTGGTTATAATAGATAATTTTTATTTTTTGGTGACGTCACACTCACGCTATAGTTAGCATGCATACGTCTAAGCTAGATTACGTCACCTTTTCCTGGTAAGGCAAACTTTCCCGGCGTGCTTTTTTCATGGATAAACAAACACCACTGCTTTGCACATGAATACCTTGTCTAGCTAGGGCTAAAAGAGCCGCATAGTTAGCATATATTACCGTACTTCAACAAGGTACGTCTGCAACTGAATTTTTCTCAGGCTCTAGTTAATTTTTTTTTCTTATTTTAATTTCTTTCAAAAGTGTACTTTCTATCACATATAATTGCACTCTATTTAGGCCTAGTCATATTATGCTTCATCGTCCCCCGCTATACACAGTACATCTGTAGGGGTCCCCAACGCTACTACAGTAGCTAGGCAACAGAACGTGATTACACATTTTCTTCCCAGGTGTTTATGTAAATTTGCATATTGTTAGCTAACCAGCTGAGTGCATCCCTTCTTGGAAAGAGCTGGGAACTTCGAAATAATTGTCTCTATATCTTCGCTAATTAATCACCGTATTTTAGCTTACACTTATGCATGGAGAGAGCACTTCAAATGTACAATAATCATTTCACTACCCAACAAACCCCGAACTTTATTCATGCATTACATAAATATTCATTTTGCTCCTTTACTCCAACATTACTGGCGCACGGTAACAACCAACTGGCATTTCACGTCGCACATTACTCTCCATAACGCAGCACCCCCTAGTTCCGTGTCTTCTGGATGAAACCCAGCCAACAAGTCATGAAAAATTTAATTAATTATTGGTGATCCGCTTCTTTTGTCAGAGATCTACTTACTTCGCCTTTTTCTTTATTCTACCTTTCCTTCCATTTCTGTTAGCACGATATCTCAAAATTGCTGTGAGCTTAGCACAAGCGCGCTTTAACAAACATTTTGCATCTCCTAGAATAGTCACGGTAAGGTTTACAAGATGACAGTCATTGATGACGTCATCTACGCGCAATTTTGCTTTTTTACATTATCGATCATATCAGCCTAACCAATTGCCATTTCAAAATCGTATTAAGTGAGCAATAACTTCAGGTCAATATTGAATGTAGTGTACCCTAATTTTACGCGTGTGCTTCATAACGCACGCGTACGCGTACTTTAAAATTCTAAAATGCTCGAAATCACTTTTTGATTAAATTTTAAAACATTTTTCAAATTTTCGGCGCCGCGCGCATATTTTTATGCGTGCAGCACGTACGGAAGCTGGAAATTTCGTTTTTTTACATGTAACGGGTTCCTGACACTGTATTCACATATTTCCATTCTTTTTCGGTCACCTTAGGGCCAATAGCAATGTCCTACGCCTACGCGCGCATAGAACATACAAATCCTTGTCCGCGTTTTTGTCAACATACAGCAAAAAGGTCAAATCATGCCTATTTTTAATCAGTTATAGCTCCTTAGGATGAAAGGTGACCCCCATTTCTTATTACATATTCTGAAAGCACACGAATTGTAAATATGATTTTATTGATCATAATGGCTGATCGGACATTGTGACGTCATCATATTGCCATCTGAATTCAAAGAAAAGAATTGTATATATGGCGTCATTTTTAAAAATACGCATTTGGGCGTATCTTGATAATATCCTTGATTGATCGTCTCCCAACTTTGAGTTGTAGCTGAGACAATTCTCTTTCATATATGTGACTTCTTTTTACATTTTTATGACGTCATCATGGTCAAAATAAATGTTTTTCTGACCCCCTCATCTTTCTTTTCTCAAAACGTTGATGACCCCATAATCATCCTAACCATTCGTCATTTCTGAATCATATTAAATGGGCAAACACTTCAGGTCAAGGTTGAATATCAGGTACCTTAATTTTCCCTTCGCGCGTCTTAACGTGCGCGTACGCGTGCAGTAACAATTATATGTGCTTAAAATGATGCTTTTTAATCAGTTATAGCTCCTTAGGATGAAAAGTAACCCCCCCTTCCCCAATTTTATTACATATTCTGAAAGCACATGAGTTGTAAATATAATTTTATAGATCATTATGGCTGATCGGACCTTGTGACGTCATCATATTGCCATCTGAATTAAAAACAACTGAATTTTTATATATGATAAATATTATGAATGATAATAAGTCCCTCACCAACAGGCGTTTGTCAATGAGAGTTGATACACATATATCTCATATCAGGAGTCAATATTTTGTGACATTACAATGCGCACGTGCGTCATGACGTGCGCGTATGAGTAAATCTTTTAAAATGCTCCAAATTCTTTAAAAAAAAAAAAAAAAAAAAAAACTGAATAGCATACTTTAGGCCATTTTCAGCATTTAAAAAAATTGTTCAATCTTCACCGCAGACTTCCTCGAGGGTCAAAGTGCGGCGGATCATCAGTGACGAGTTCAAATCTAGTTAATACAATTATTATTATTTTTATTGCAATGTTGGTTATTGCTAATTAGCTAGGCTCATTGCATTTCAAGCGGGAAGGAGACCCGCATTGCAAACCCAAAATGGGTGAGCAGAAAACAAAGCTAGCTGTGTTAATTTTCATGGTATACAAACAACGAAATGATATGGTTGGTGGATTCGCTTAAATTAGTATAGATTTCATGTTTTATAACATTACTTTAACATAACATTAATTGAAAGAGGCTATAATTGTTTTCTTCTTTGCTCTAAAAAGATACAAGGAATAAGAAATGACTACTGACGCGTGGATGATCTTTCTTTCTGTTGTTATTCCTATTATATACAAAAAAACGTCTTGAAATTTCAATTCCAAAGTTAGGCCTGAAAAAAAAAAACACAAAAGAGCAAACAAACAAACAAAGAAATGGCAAAAAATGAAATTTGCTTGCAGGTGCAGTCTAATAATTGTACAGAACATTTATATATATACTTTTTTTATTTTTCAACTCACAGAGAGTGTAAATCTTGTAGAAGTGATTATAATTTATGGATTTGTATATCAACAAAGTTTTCATGTTCAAGTTTTCATCAATCCACAGAGGGAGGATCCAGAATTTTTTAAACAAGGTGGTGGGGGCAGCAATTTCATATACTATAGGCCTCAATGATCATTATTATTATACAGACATAATGTCTAGTAATGACATGATTGATGTCCAGTACATGCTGTTACACAAAGTATTTGTATGCGATTTTGTATTATCACTGTTGAAAAAATAAAAGATGACAGTGGAAAAACAGGGAGAAATCTGCCCCTGTCTAACATTGTACAGAAAAAAAAAGAAAAAATGTTGTGGCTATAACACCTAGATGGCCGGAAATGGCACTCATTCTTAGGCCTAAATTTGAATATACCTTTCCTCTTTTTTCTCCATTTTTTCATTTTCAAAGAAGTTTGGGGAGGGAGGGCCTGGCGCGAGGCGGGGTGATGGGCAGGAGGAATTAAGTGATTTAGTTGGGGAGATTCAGATGGCAAAATATGGTGATATGTGGCGATTTTTTAAATACTTGAGAATAACTTTTTTTTGCAAAAAAACATATCCAGTGGCAGGTGTGTGGGGGAGCAAGATTTCTGGGAAGAGGGGTTATTACTTGTGCTCTTATTTTCTTCCCAATGCATCACTGATACCCATTATATATCAGATAAAATAAAATGACTATTGTATGATATATAAATGAAAAACGATGATCTATTTGCAATTTTTTTTGTTAATAACAAATTTTCCGCAGCGGCAATTTTAAAATTCAAAATGGATACCCTAAAGTGAATGAAAAAACTAGCACCCATTTTTTCTTAATCAATGGTTTTTTAGATATTTTTAGACATGTTTGCCAAGAATCTACCCAAAATAATGTTTAAAAAAATTGACATAAGACAACAAACTAAAGCATAATGGTAAGTGAAAGAGTGCTGATATATTATTTTATCAAGTGAGTGCATATTAAACGAGACCTACACCACCATATGTAAACACCAAAGAAAACCATATTCCAACCGTTTTAAAATGGCGGCCAAGATATTTATTTTTAGCTCAATCTTACCAAAGTACAAAAATCAACTTTCCTGAAGGAGTTTTCTTTATAAATTTTGGCTCATATTAGAAGACCATAATAAACCTAAATTACTGCAATACAGTACAATTTGGATACTTTTATTCTTGTGTGATTTTAAGGTCGAAACAATGTTTTTCAGTGCCACTACAATGCTAATTTATTATAGGTATCGCGACAACGACACAATAGAACTGATTTTCTTTTTTCACGGCAAGTAGCACAACTAACCTATTGGCAATTACAAAATAAAAATGAACCAGAATAGATTGCGGCGATAAAATTCTATGTAAATGGCCTGGTCCCGGTATGTCCGGTATGTGGATTCATTATTTGTTTAGCACAAATCAGCCTTCCAGGCAGACACCTCATCTGCGCTGATAGGGAATGATGACAGCACAGGTACAGTTGTACTCTTCTCTGTCTTGTAAGTTGACAGCGACTCGAAAGTGTTGGCAACTTTCAGAAGACTTCGACTAAGAGATGATATTTGCTCATCAGTAATCACTTGGTTCTGATCGTTTTGCTGACTAACCCGGACGGAGAGTTGCTGTAGCACGCCTGCTCCCTGTAATATTCAAAGAAATTAAAAGTACATATTAATGCAAGCGATATAGACCTAATGTATGAAAATTAAACCTACACAATTCGCAAGCTTTCGAAATCACTCACTCCCCATAAAAAAGCTTAGATAATAAAAGTATTAATGGATTTTATTTTATATCATTGTGTTGCCCTTTCTCCCTTTATAACAGAGCCGTAGATAGAGAGAGTTTGGCCAACTCGGTTTCAATCACGTGACTTACACCGGCCATGTTGTCACCAAAACAAAACAACGCGATAGGGTAGGAAGTTAGCAGTTATTAAAGATAATTAATGCTATAATTATAATGTGAAATACCATTATGTTGGGTTTGGAGTTGCTGCAATCGATCCAACAAAGAAACAAAAATGTATTAATTTCCTTAAATTCCAAAAAGGAGGAGGATTTGGGATTTTATTTTAACTTTGCATGGCGATCGAAAAATCTCGCTATCCACGTAGTCTATCCACGTAGTAAATTATATGGCATGTACCGCCCGCCCCACTTCGCGGTAATATATATCCACCTACTACTACTACTAGGCCTAGACAGGCCTAAATTTCGGTACTTCTTTGGCCGAACACCTTAAGGTAGTACTTAAATCTGCTTAATTACGATGATAATAATAAAAAAAGGGAAGGATTTTCAAGCAGCAATGATTTATAAAAAGATGCAATATTTCACTTTGCTGTTAAATTATATAACTAATTTCCAGAAAGCTACATGAAGTATCAGTCAAAGGTAGCTTAAATTATAATTAAAAATAAAAGGGTCGTGACAAAGTGCGAGCCAGCTAGTCATGCGAGCCAATGCGCGAGCCATGCGAGCCAGCGAGCCATGCGAGTCATACATTTTAAATCCTTTTTTCACCGGGAAGCTTTGCCTGTGTAGTCCAGTCATACCTTGAGTCATACGCAGTACATACACTTTTTTCGAATCGTCGATCCGGAAGTATGCAGCGCTGATAGAGATGTTGTTAAAATACAGATATACAGATACATACAGATATATTTATATATATATGTACTGTATATATTGATATATATATATATATATATATATATAATTTTATATATACTGTCTATCTTTATTTATATATCTTTA